AAGGAGGCAACCTGACAAAAATTACTTGTTTGGGGATTGAAATCACTATCTACAATGAATTTTTAATTTGAACTGCAATAAAATTGGACATTTTCTAAATTATACCTTAATGTGTAAAATAAATTTTAAAAATCACCATTAAAAGTGAAGCTCTAATTCAGTTTAGCATAGAAACAATCACACACAATTCAAAGGGAAAGGAACCCTAGCTGGTTTGGCTCAGTGGATAGAGCATTGGCCTATCTCATCAAGGGGCACATTCCCAGCTGTGAGCTCAATCTCCAGTAGGAGGCAGCTGATCAATGTTTCTCTATCGTCATAGATGTTTCTCTCTCTCTCCCCCTCTCCCTTCCTCTCTGAAATTAATACAAATATATTTAAAGGGGGGGGGCACTAATGAATCTTTTCTTTAATGAAAGTCCTCCACAGGAATATTTTTATTTACTTGAAAAATACAAAGTCTACGTAGAATAAACTAGAGAAAAAGAGAGAGAGAGAGAATGAACAGTTGGCTCTTGGCTCTGTGGAACTACAAAAATAAGGAGAGCATGGGCTTTTAAACCCTCTGTAAAGGTTAATAAGGAATTGATTTTTTTAGTTATAGCTTAATTCAACAAATACGTGTGTGTGTATATAGATATAGATATAGATATAGATATAGATATAGATATAGATATAGATATAGATATATATAGGTATTTCCAAGACTCAGAAATATGGAAGCAAGTGCCCTTTAATTTGGCAAATACCTATAAATACAGCATTACACAATTATCAGGATGTCCTTAGAAGAATAAAAGTACAAACCTGTTTTTCCTATTTAACTTGTTGACTTAAATAGTAGTATACAATGAGAACTCACTGCTAATTAAAATTTGTTGTGATCTTTAAAGAAGGAAAAAACAAACAAACGTGTTTTAAGAATATGCCCCAGACTTATCTTAAACCCAATGTAAATTAAGGTTTTCTAACAACTAGGCTATTTTAATCACCTACAGTCCAGAGTGGATAAGCCTTATGTAATCAACCAATTAATACAGATGCTCTTTCACATCAGGCACTCATACTAAAATAAATCCTTTTGATCCAATCTCCAAAATCTCAGAAGGCCCCTACAGTGTGAGCTCTTCCCACATGAATTCCACTATTAATACAATATGCATTTAACCTACATTTATGCAAAGTGTATTTCAGAATAAGTCATAAAATTTATAGACGTTCAATAATATACTTAAAGTGGTCAGACCGATTAAAATATCTGCAACACCAGAGACAAAACCAAAACAGCATTATAATAAAAATCACATATCAATTACAGAAATATCATGGGTTAGCCAAAGAAACGTCACCAGAAATAATTTCAATAAAATCAGACCACACGTTAGTCACACATTTCTGTAATCATTCCACACTAAGTGAAACACCGAAATACACAGTGTGAGTTATCTTTTTAAATATTTTACTAATATAGCCATAGCAAAGTACAAAGTTTAAAAAAAAGATTCTTACCATAAAGCTGAAAATAAATAAGCAAAAGTAAATCTCCTTTAACATTTAGCAATCATGTTATATGAGTGAATATCAGAAATATTAAGATTAAAAAAAAAAACTTTGAAAGACTCATTGCTAGATCCTATGGGAGGGGAGAGGAGGAGGAGAGGAAGATTGTAAAGAGGTATCCAAAAAGGGGATAAATAAATTCAAAACACAGTATTTTCCTTATGTCTCCTTTACTTCCGAGGAAACATTCTATTCAATGTTAGTAATAAAAAAAACGAGCAAGGGACAGACTTTGCTCCACTCATCCTGCATTTGAATAGGTCTTCACGTTCATTATCTTAATAAAATTAGACACACATGCAATTAATGAGAAAGGTTAAAATAGACAAATTTTTGTAGCTTCATTAGGTGCTAATCATCAGAGAGCCCTAAACTCCAAAACTGAGTCTACAAATTCATCTTGCATCCTTCTTTCTCTCCAATAATCTTATGCTTCAGAAACTTTTAACACCAAAGTTTCAACATAATCCCAATAAAAGCTCTAACTCCACCTGAAACCTATTACTTCCTTCCTTGCCCCTGTTGAGCAGTTTCGCCCTCAATGCTAAAGTGAAATAATGTTGAAAATCAAATGATGCAGAAATGTGCCTTCATCAATGTTACAACTTTATGCTAAATTCATTGAATTTCAGTATTTAAAAAACATATTAAGTTTTAATGGCTAGTTCATTTTACTTAACGAATGTATATGAATATCAATAAGATTTCTCTTGCTTTACTATCAACGAATGAACTCCTAACTTGACTATGTTCATCACGACATCCACAATTTTACAATTTAATGTGGTAATTGGAAACTGTGCTATGTTTACACATCAGAAGGCACTACCTTCTGCACCAGAGGGTATAGCTTAGTGGTTGGGTGTCATCCCATGTATCAAGAGGTCATCCTTGGATTCCCATTCCTGCAGGGATTGGGGCTCCATCCCCGGTAGGGGGCATGCAGGAGGCAGCTGGTTTATTGTCTCCCCCCCCCCTCTAAAATCAATAAAAACATATTCTTTTTTTAAAAAATGAGTTAAAAAGAAAACAAAAACGAATTACCTTCCCCTCAAAGTAGTGTAATTACTTTTAAGCTTTCTGAGAAAACAAATTTAGGAGTCATCTTAAAAAGTCAAATTATTTCTTTTTATGTAAAAGGAATGCAAGTGAAGTTATTAGCATTTAATATTTTTATATCAAAAGTCAGAAAGTCTGTACTCAATACTGTTGTGATCTCAACATATTGATTTATCTGCTAATCATTCAGGGTCACGGTCATAGCTAATGTTTGGCTAGAACCAGTAGCATATAGAGAGAAGAAAGCAACCAATTTTAGTTTCTATCAGGGTTGTTGTTTGGAAACAATAGAGTAATTCAGTGATGGTTAGAAAAGAAACATTGTTTCAATTTATTTGGAAGAAGCTTTGTTCTGGGCAATCATAATTCCCAATGTTAATGCCAAAAGGTGTAAAATTTTCAAACATTACCAAATAATTCCCTACAAATTATTATATCTTATCACTAGGACACACACTACAGGTTTATAATTCAAATCACACATCGGCATAACAATAATTTTTTCATTAGATATTTAAAAATCTCAAAAGAGCCACATCATCATAAGGTTGCTATGAGGCTCAAATTTAAAATATGAAGGTACTTTTTCACATGTCATAAATTACTATAGAAGGTATTATAATGACCTACGAGCAACTGTCACCTGACTTATGCTCCAGATCCCATGGGGCTTAACGAAAGTTCATTGTAAATGGAAAATAACCTTGTCCCATGCATTTTTTTATAGTAAGAAAAATGGTAACAATACCTTGATAATTATCAGACCAAAATGCATTAATAACCCCTAAGAGTTTCTTCAAATATGTTACTTTACTTTGTACAATTATCTGTTTTTATATAAATCAATATTATAACTTCTTAGAGATTAAGCAGATAGCTTAGTCAAATCAATCAAGCACATTCAACCATGAATTCCACTGCCAAAAATCTAGATTAAAAAATTTAAAACACAGGCATGTCTTTTAACATTCAAACAGAATAGTTTATGTGCTAAGAAACATCTCAAATCTCTTTACTGAAAATATTTTCAACCTCAATTCAGAATGACAGCAATTCAAAGGTGGAGTAGTGTTCTTTTATAGGAAGATAATTATTATTTAAATAATAGACTAGTAGTAGGTTGCTTACATTTAGACACACAAGAACCTAGGTGATATTTTTCTGATGAGAAACAACTAAGCCCTTTAAAGGAATAAAACATAGCTTAAATCTAAGTGTAAAATTCTTCCCGAACAAGAAAAGCTTCCTACGTAAGGAGGGAAAGAAGAGACACCTCTCTTAGGACATCCCTTTAACAGAAAAAGTATTTTAAAGGAAGTTTTAAATAAAATCTCCAGTGATTAGTTAATGGGAACAATGACTATCACTAACATTTAAGAAAAAGCTTGAAATGCTTATGTATAAATAAATCACTGTGTCTGCTGTGCCTTTAAAAAAACCACCACCACTGACTGTCTCTATAATCACATTTTGAAATATTTTCCTTCACACACAAAATGTGGTATACAACCCGGTATTTATCTGAGTTGGGGATGGGGTGCAGGTACAGAACTAACAATAGGTACATCTAAATTTAGAACTTTTTTCCCAGTAATTCCATTTTAACAGATCCCTTGGATGTCAAACAGAAATGTCAGTACACTTTTAAGCGACTGAGATAAACAAAGAAAAGCATCAAATGACGGTGAGAATTGAAGCTTAACAATATTGGCCATCAGTTTCTACTTAAGAAGTTGTGGGAACATTTGAAAGTAAAATTTTGTTTTGCACTATGTTGCCACCAATTCCTTTTTTAAAGAGCCTGATCAGCAAGCAAGATTTGGCTACTTTAGGTCAGGAACCTCATGAGCAAGTCCTTTGCCTAATGCTGTGGTCCCATACACTGTTCACTGCATTTCTGACTTGTTATTACTTCTGATTTTTAACTCTTTAATCTCGTTACATTCCACAAGTGTGCAAACACAGCAGCACAACTCTTGGTTACGTGAAGAATAAAGGGCTCTTTTTCATTGTGATGTAAGCATATTCTAAAACAGTTTACATGAACATGCACCATGAACACGCTGTATCTGCAAACATTAAAACCTCTTGAACTTATACAATTTTTAATTAAGATCCCTGTTAATGAGCAGTATTTTTTTTAAATAAAATTTTCAACCATTGGCCAATGGGATACTGAATGCCAATATTCAGACAAAAACTTGAAATGTATAGAAATAGGCTGTCTACCATGTCTACTTAAAAAAAAAAACAAAAAAAAAAACTCCTTAAACTTATTCACATGAAGAAGCACATTAATTGCTGGAGAAAACATACAAATAAATGAATATTTAATTCTACCAATCTGTCTCAGACTTAAGAAATTGAAAACCAAATCTTACCTTGAGTAGCCATTAGAAAAAACCGATCGCCCGGGGAAGTTCAAAGTTCCCAAGGAAGTCAGGTTGTCATCTCCAGATCCTTGGCACCTATTCCAATTTTCTGAACCAACAGGGATTGGTGGAATGACATTAAAAACAGGCTTCTGATCCTGCTGTTGAGAAAGGGATGCTGTATTCATGTCATAGTGGTACATCTGTCCCCCAGAGGTGCTCACACCGTGCACAGAAATGGCAGACATTTTATTACCAATTATGTTTGCCCCAGAAAAACTTTCCTGACAGTAAACCGGGCCCAGTCTCTCCTGCTTAATTACTCCAGGGGTGCAGAGTTCAATGAAATCTTCTTCTTTTTCTGTCTTCACCTGGGGCAGTGCCATACTGCCGGGGCTTGGTAAAATCAGATCTCCATTATCCTTAATTTTAGGTTTAGTATCTGGCAAAACGAGAGGCTTACAGTCCTCATTTGAGTTTCCTTCCAAAAGGAATGGATCATCCTCTCCTCCCAAAGGAGAAAGCAAACAGTTTTCATCTATCAAGAGGTCTGGTCTCCAGGGGCTCTCGTTCATCTCTTTACCTGGGGACCCAGGAGGAAACTCCAAATCCTGCAAAATGTCGAAGGCTCTTTGGTCTGTGGAATACAACTTCACATTGCCACCGTTGGTGCCAGCCTGGCTCTTCAAATCTTGCTGTTCCGAAGACGACATGTCGGATTGTGTTTTTGGAAACTCCTTCTCTGTGGGGTTAACAGAAACAGTAGCAGACACTGCACTCTTGGGATTCTCTGGAACAATGGTCGACTTATTGAGGTTTGCAATGCTTTCTTCCAGAAGCCGAAAGTCTGTTTCCCCAGAGGAGAGGCTGATTTGGCCCGGTTGTGGGAACCCCAGGTCATTTCCCATCACTTTTGTTTCTGTCTCTCCCATATACAGTCCCATGGAGAGGGAAACTGCCTGGGACAGATCTGGCTGCTGCGCATTGCTTCCTGAGCCTTTTGGAAAATCAACCAAAAGTCTTTGCTGCTTGGAGTCTGTCAGAGAAGCAGCAGCCAGTGAGGGGGAAGATGCAGAAACCTTCACAGTAGCTCCTCCCCTTAGGGTTTTATAGAAGTCCATCACTTTTCCTCTCTCCCCAATAAGCACGCTGCTGGGGATTTCTTCTTTACTGGGGGAGCCTAAGGATTCCTTCGAGTCCATCAATGAATATCAGCTACAAAAAAGAGAAAGGGAGGCATAATAAGCTATAAAGTCACATTATCTCTGTGATCCGTTTAGTAAGAGCTTGTTAAATGAACCTTTTAGTTAACCCTGAATCTAATTCCTCATTATCAGAAGAGTAGTTTCTGTCATGCAGAATGAAAAGCCATGCATGTCCCCTGCTCCCATTCAGTGTGCCACACTTGAAAGTACGATACAGTCCATTGCATGGCTGAGAGCAAAATTATATCAAACGCAGCTTGGCTATTCATCCTGACACAGAACTGTAACTTTGTTAATTATAGACATTATCATTCATTACATCTGATTATTCTAAAGGTTAGAGTTGATGCCAAAGTATTTCATTTAAAAAAGAACTATGATCATTAAAATTCCTGCCTCTTTTCAATCAAGGCTTTTCTGAGAATCAATACACATAAAATTTGATAAGTACCAGGATAGAATTCTTTATCTGATTATTCCCCAATTACCCTCCTACTAGCTAGCTAGTCATACATTCAAACCTTTTAGTACAGCCTCCTAGTAAATCTTGCTCATTTTATCTGAAAAAAAAATAAACAATGATGATTTTGCTTATCTTCCAATAGGCTAGGAAAAATCTCTTATTTTTAACTCATACTTCTTATTGAATGTACCTGTTGAATAGTGCCTGCCCTCAAATTTGACATACCAAATGAAATACATTGTACAAAGGCAAAATAAAATTTAGATTTTAAAAAGCAGAAGAGAATATAGCTCTTTTCACAACAACTTTACCTTATTTAAATATAATAAATGCAGTGCCTCTCAATCCGCACAACACAATAAAATATAGATGATGCTACATTTCTTTAAAACTGCTTAAGATCCTCAGTATAAAACAATATATTTCTAAATAAAGACGTTTCCTTTCCAGTTTTTAACTACCGAACAAGACAAAAACCCAGAACGCTAAAATCATATTCGTATAAATCCACGCGGGAAAAAATCCTGTAAAATGCTGCTAATTTTCTCTGCATTCTAAACCTTCACCTATGACAACTCTGAGCCTATTCTCAAGTCGGTTAGATTGCCAGTATATCAATAATCAGAATTTTTTTAAAAAAGGGCAAAGACTTTGATAAGCATATTTGAGACATGATAGTCAAATCTCACCCAAATGAAAGGAAACTTGTCTTGTACAGAGACTTTAAAAAACATAAACTTCACTGGCCCTCACAGAAAATGGAGTGCGATGAAGGTGGCAGGGTGAAATCTTGGTGGTAAATTGCTTATCGCCCCCTTTTATCTGATAACGATCTTTAAACACTGGGCATCAAGTGGAACCTAATGAATTTCCACACCGTCTTGACAGCTGCCTCCCAACTCTAAACCAAAACAACACCTCCTGAAATGAAAAGGATCCCTTCCTCCAAGGGCTTTAGCCCCCAGTTTAAGTTGCAAATAACTGACACCACAAGGAACCGCGCTGCGGGGGTCTTTCAGACCCAGTCCAGGCTGCCAGACCCAGCCTGCATCCCAAATGTCCAACAATGCGCGGCTCCTCAAAACCGCACCAGAAAGCGGTGACGACTGGGGAGGGTCTTTTGGAAAAAGGGTCACTTATAAAAGTCAGGTGAGAAATACCGCCAAACGCCAAACCTCAGCTGGGGGATGGGGGTGGGAGGTGAGAGAAAGGCGCCTAGACCTGTTGCTGCGTTCTTTCCCGACACGCCCACTCCTACCCGAGATGCCGGCCCCGGCCAAAGTCTCCAGGCGGCGGGCGGTCAGCCCCCCGCGGGCGTGCGCTCACCCGCACTCACACCCGCACCACAGCTGCACGCTCACCCGCACCACAGCCGCACGCTCACCCGCACTCACACCCGCACCACAGCCGCGGGCGAGCCGGCCCCGAGTGGGACGCGCTGGAGCCTCGACAGAAACCCCGCCGCGCTCGGCGCACCGGGGCGGAGTGGGCAGACTCGGGCGAACAGAATTCAGAAGCGGTTTGGTATTCACCATGAAAATGGGTATCTGGGTACCCTCCCCGCCCCCCCCCCCAAACACACCCCCGGAGAAGCAAAGGAAGGGGACTTGGAAAACAACAACAACAACAACAACAACAACGAGAGGCTGGAAACCCGAGGCAGCCAGACCGGGCTCCACTCGCAGAGTTCGGAGCCCAGTCCCTCCCCCCCCCCCCCTCGGCCCCGGGAGAGGAAGAGCCTGGCGCTGGCACCCGCGCTCTGCCCTTTCGTCACCGGACCTCGGCCCTCGGCCCTCGCCAGCTCCCCCCCCCCCCCCCCGGCCCCGCGGCTGATAAAAGTTTGCAGGCTCCGCCGCGGCCCCAAGCAGCGCCTCCCGGGAGCGGGGAGCGGGGAGCCGGCCGGCAACGGCGCTTACCTCTGTGGAGGCGCCGCGCGCCCGCCGCCCGCGCTCCCACGGCAGGCAGCCCGGATAAACAACTCAGCACGGGAAAGAGGCAGATTTCTCCCCTGGAAAAGGGAAGGCAGCAGCCGCCCCCTTCTCCATGGGTGGGGGGGAGCCCCTCTCTAAGAAAAGTCCAGCATTGCTCGCTGACAAGCCGGCCCCCGCCCCGAGCCCCTCTGCCCGGGCTGGGTCTGCCGCGCGCGTCCTCCGTCCGGGCGCCTGGCCGCTCGCTCCGGCCGCTCGCTCCGGCGGCGGCTTCTCCTTCCACCCACGAGACTCCGGCCCCGACGGACGGACAGACGGGCGGCGGCGACTAGGGCTCCCGTCACCAACTCGAGATCGCAAAATGGAGGAGGAGAGGAGCGGAGAGGAGAGGGGAGGGAGTGCGGACACGCGAAAGGGCCGCCCCGCCGCGGCGAGGCAGCGAGCGGGCGGGCGGGCGGGCGGCGGCGGGGGCGGCGCCACGGCGCGCTCTCTCCACACGCGCTCCCACTCCGCCCCCGGCGCTCCCCGCCCAGAGGGGCCGCGCGGCGGCGCGGGGAACGGTGCAACCTGTTGGCGACGCTCGGCAACTGCACGGGTGTCCGCGGCCCCTGCCCCCACGCCCTCCGCGCGGGCCCCTCCACCCCCTCCCACGCCCTCGGCCCCCGCCCAGCACCCGCCGCCCCCGGGCCGCGCGGGGAGGGTCTTCGCCCACCCAACCCCCCAGGAGAAAAGGAGAGGCGGCGGGGGCAGACCTCATCTCTCGGGGTGCGCTCCGGAGGGAAACCGAGTTTCTCTAGTTTCTCTTCTGCCTCCTTCCCGCCTCCGCCCAGCTCCGCGACTCCCGACCCACTCGGGAGCTCGCCCTGAACCGCCGCCGCCGGCGCCCCGCGGCTGACAGACAGCGGTGGGGGGAAGAGGGGGGGCCGGGCGCCGCCCCAGGAGCCGCCGGGGGTCCGCGCCGCCGCCCCCGGGCCGAGGTGCGCGACCTGCGGCCCTGAGCGCGGGGCGGCGGGGCTGCACGGAGACGGTGCCACAGCGTCTGTGCGCGGGGCCGGTCCGCCCGGCACGCCCTCCGGGGAGGCCTCGGGGAGCGGGGCGGGGAGGGGGCCGGCGCGTAGGAACTCCGGGCGCGGGGGCAGCTGTGTGCCGCCAGGCCCCCCACCCGCCCCCGCACCGCCTGGGCGGCCGGGTCTGCACCCGTCGCCGCGCTCCCGCCCCAGAGAGAAGTTGCCAGCAGAACCCACCCTCCCCCGCGTCCGGCCGGCCCCCACCCGCTTCCCCAGCCTCCCGGGCCGCGGCGGCGGCGGCGGCGGCGGCAGGAGGCTCTGCCTGCCAAGTTCAACCCCCACCCTCCCTCCCCGCGCGCTCACACTTGAAGGAAGTTGCACGCCAGAAGCAAAACCTCCAGCAAGCTGAATTTCTTTGCACTTTCCCCCCCATTATTATTATTTTTTTTTTTTTAAGGAAAGCAGAGGGTGGCAGGCCTAAAAGCAAGTTGCAGGCGAAACAGTAAGTTGTTGCCGGTCAAGTACGCCCTCACCCCCCAAACTCCTGACCTCTCCCGCCAGCCCGCCCGCCCGCCCGCCCGGGACCGGCTCCCAGGCGTCCGGAGGAGGCCCCTCGGGGAATCCTGACTTCGGCTGCACGCGACTCCGTGCACCGCCCGCGGGACCCCAGCCCGCCCTCCGCAGCCGAAGCGCACGCAGCTTGAACATGTCAGCGCCCCACTCCCTCCAGCTGTTCCCGTTACGCGGGGAGACGCGCGGCCAGCCCCCCGGGAGCGGGGCCGGGGCCGGGGTTTTCCCCGCGGGAGGTGCCCGCCCAGCCCCCTGCCCCGCTCGCTGGACCCGGGGCGCCCGGCGGCGCGGGGCCGGAGCCTCCTACCTGGAGCGGCACGCACCATGGTGTTCGGGGCTCGGGAGAAGGCGGTGCGGCGCGGCTTCGGGGTGTCGGGAGGTAACTTGTGCGCCCCCACAGGTGACAGCGCTCGCCAGCTCCTGCCGGGGGCGGAGGCTGCCGCCGCTCCACCTCGTCGCTGCCCGGAGCGCGGCGCAGCCACTCTCCTACAGGCCTGGCCGCCGCGGCTCTGACACCTTCCAGCGGGGCGGGCGGCGCGTGCCGGAAGCAGCCGCCGCCATCTTGGTAAAGGGCGCTGACGCCGCCCGCCGCGCCGCCACCATCTTGGCCCAGCGCTTCGCTCTGGAGGGGCCTCCGGAGTCGCCCTTCCTCGCGTCTGAGCGGGGGTCGCGCCTCGGGGGTGGCCGGGGGTGACAGGAGAGGAGGAATCCTTCAGCCAGCGGCTCCTCCTGAGGCGCCCTGGGCGCGCTTTCCGTCAGGGCCGCCATCTTGGCAAAGGGACAGGGAAGCAAAGGAGAGGGCACCAAATCTTGGCCCCGGGTGGGATTTCTGTGAAGGGTACTGAGCAACCCAAGTGTTAACCTTCTTCTGAACGCAGAAGGGATGACATCTCCTTTCCTTTCCCTTGGTGCCAGCTTTGCCTTGGGGCGCACAGTGGAGGACAAGTGAAAATCTGCTCGGAAAACTACCTGGCAGGCCTGCCCGTGTCCCACCTCCCACCTCTGCAGGGCTAGAGCCAGAGGTCAGCA